CCCCAGTCCTTTTTTAAGTGGGCTATGTGGGAATGGGATAGTACTGGGCAACAGTATGTGGGGCCCATGTGGTTCTATCTTCATGGGCCCAACATGGGAAGCCCATGTGGGCTGACCACATTGAACCCACATGACATCAGCATGGGCTGACCATATATGGGTTAGACCTGGGTGTGGATATGTGGGCCCCAGTCCTTTTTTAAGTGGGCTATCTGGGAATGGGATAGTACTGGGCAACAGTATGTGGGGCCCATGTGGTTCTAGTATCATGGGCCCAACATGGGAAGCCCATGTGGGCTGACCACATTGAACCCACATGACATCAGCATGGGCTGACCATATATGGGTTAGACCTGGGTGTGGATATGTAGGCCCCAGTCCTTTTTTAAGTGGGCTATCTGGGAATGGGATAGTACTGGGCAACAGTATATGGGGCCCATGTGGTTTCAGTATCATGGGCCCAACATGGGAAGCCCATGTGGGCAGACCACATTGAACCCACATGACATCAGCATGCGCTGACCATATATGGGTTAGACCTGGGTGTGGATATGTGGGCCCCAGTCCTTTTTTAAGTGGGCTATCTGGGAATGGTATAGTACTGGGCAACAGTATGTGGGGCCCATGTGGTTCTAGTATCATGGGCCCAACATGGGAAGCCCATGTGGGCAGACCACATTGAACCCACATGACATCAGCATGCGCTGACCATATATGGGTTAGACCTGGGTGTGGATATGTAGGCCCCAGTCCTTTTTTAAGTGGGCTATCTGGGAATGGGATAGTACTGGGCAACAGTATATGGGGCCCATGTGGTTTCAGTATCATGGGCCCAGCATGGGAAACCCATGTGGGCAGACCACATTGAACCCACATGACATCAGCATGCGCTGACCATATATGGGTTAGACCTGGGTGTGGATATGTAGGCCCCAGTCCTTTTTTAAGTGGGCTATCTGGGAATGGGATAGTACTGGGCAACAGTATATGGGGCCCATGTGGTTTCAGTATCATGGGCCCAACATGGGAAGCCCATGTGGGCAGACCACATTGAACCCACATGACATCAGCATGGGCTGACCATATAGGGTTAGACCTGGGTGTGGATATGTGGGCCCCAGTCCTTTTTTAAGTGGGCTATCTGGGAATGGGATAGTACTGGGCAACAGTATATGGGGCCCATGTGGTTTCAGTATCATGGGCCCAACATGGGAAGCCCATGTGGGACCACATTGAACCCACATGACATCAGCATGGGCTGACCATATATGGGTTAGACCTGGGTGTGGATATGTAGGCCCCAGTCCTTTTTTAAGTGGGCTATCTGGGAATGGGATAGTACTGGGCAACAGTATGTGGGGCCCATGTGGTTCTAGTATCATGGGCCCAACATGGGAAGCCCATGTGGGCAGACCACATTGAACCCACATGACATCAGCATGGGCTGACCATATATGGGTTAGACCTGGGTGTGGATATGTAGGCCCCAGTCCTTTTTTAAGTGGGCTATCTGGGAATGGGATAGTACTGGGCAACAGTATATGGGGCCCATGTGGTTTCAGTATCATGGGCCCAACATGGGAAGCCCATGTGGGCAGACCACATTGAACCCACATGACATCATGCGCTGACCATATATGGGTTAGACCTGGGTGTGTATGGCCCCAGTCTTTTTTAAGTGGGCTATCTGGGAATGGGATAGTACTGGGCAACAGTATGTGGGGCCCATGTGGTTCTAGTATCATGGGCCCAACATGTGAAGCCCATGTGGGCAGACCACATTGAACCCACATGACATCAGCATGCGCTGACCATATATGGGTTAGACCTGGGTGTGGATATGTAGGCCCCAGTCCTTTTTTAAGTGGGCTATCTGGGAATGGGATAGTACTGGGCAACAGTATATGGGGCCCATGTGGTTTCAGTATCATGGGCCCAGCATGGGAAACCCATGTGGGCAGACCACATTGAACCCACATGACATCAGCATGCGCTGACCATATATGGGTTAGACCTGGGTGTGGATATGTAGGCCCCAGTCCTTTTTTAAGTGGGCTATCTGGGAATGGGATAGTACTGGGCAACAGTATATGGGGCCCATGTGGTTTCAGTATCATGGGCCCAACATGGGAAGCCCATGTGGGCAGACCACATTGAACCCACATGACATCAGCATGGGCTGACCATATATGGGTTAGACCTGGGTGGATATGTAGGCCCCAGTCCTTTTTTAAGTGGGCTAACTGGGAATGGGATAGAACTGGGCAAAACTATGTGGGGCCCATGTGGTTTCAGTATCATGGGCCCAACATGGGGAGACCATGTGGGCTGACCACACTGAACCCACATGACATGAGCATGGGCTCATGTCATGGGCCCAACATGGGGAGACCATGTGGGCTGACCACACTGAACCCACTGTGGGTTCAGTGTGGTCAGTCCATATCCACGTCCAGGTTGGACCTGGTGTGGATATGTAGACCCCAGTCCTTTTTTAAGTGGGCTAAATGAGACAAAATTGTAGAACAATGTACAGGGGTTGGACAATGAAACTGAAACACCTCTCATTTTAGTGTGGGAGGTTTCATGCCTGAATTGGACTAGCCTGGTGGCCAATCTTCATGAATTGCACATTGCAACAGTAAGAGCAGAGTGTGAAGGTCCAATTAGCAAGGTAAGAGCACAGTTTTGCTCAAAATATTGCAATGCACATAACATTATTTGGGACATACTGGAGTTCAAAAGAGGGCAAATTGTTCACCAAGACAGCAAGTCTTTGTGATTATCAAGAGCCACAGTATCCAGGGTAATGTCAGCATACCACCAAGAATGACGAACCACATCTAACAGGATTAACTGTGGATGCAAGACGAAGCTGTCTTAAAGAGATGTTTGGGTGCTAACCCGGATTGTATCCCAAAAACATAAAACCACGGTGCCCAAATCACGGTAGAATTAAATGTGCACCTCAACTCTCCTGTTTCCACCAAAACTGTCCGTCGGGAGCTCCACATGGTCAATATACACAGCCGGGCTGCTATAGCCAAACTTTTGGTCACTCGTATCAATGCCAAACGTCGGTTTCAATGGTGCAAGGAGCGAAAATCTTGTGCTGTGGACAATGTGAAACATGTATTGTTCTCTGATGAGTCTACCTTTACTGTTTTCCCCACATCCGGGAGAGTTACGGTGTGGAGAAGCCCCAAAGATGCATTCCAGCCAGAGTGTTGTATGCCAGAGTGAAGCATGGGGGTGGATCATTGATGGTGTGGGCTGCCATATCATGGCATTCTCTTGGCCCCATACTTGTCCAAGACGAATTGATGCTGTATTGGCCTCAAAAGGAGGCCCTACACCACGCTAATAAGTTATTGTGGTCTAAAACCAGGTGTTTCAGTTTCATTGTCCAACCCCTGTAGTTAACCTGTCACTTTCAAAATTTTGACTGTATGTCAAAGCAAAAGCTGCAAGAGCAAGATTCTCAAAACTTGGAAAGAATTACGCGAGATGTCAGCTTTATAGTCTTTGCCAAGGCAATTGTTACTCAGCTGGCCTCTAATGGAGTTGATGTAAGGTAAATTGTAGAATTTAATTTTTTCCTTGTAGGAAACCTCGACGATAGTAAAGGTTGGTGACCTTGACCATTGTCGAGGTCTCCAGGACGAAGGTGACCTCGTCTTGGAGATCACCCAAGGATATATTTTGCTGATAGAACAGAACATCCATGTCTTCCTAATGTTTGAACCTAAAACATGTTCACTGTGTGATATCTATGCCTGGCTCATTTACAAACACTAGGCTTCCAGAGGACCAGGATATTAAAACATTAAAAATAATTCTACAATGCTTTATTTTTTTAAACCAGTTCAGTATTGCTCTAGCCACACTTTGAACCCTTAACATTTTTTCATGTTATTATTTTATGCTAGAACAGTCCAGTCCAGTCTCCAAGCCAGTACGCATGAGTGGGCCCCCCTTGGGTTTGTAGTAGGCCATATGGGTAATGAGTGGTCATGGGTTTTATCTGGGCAAACCTCATGGGACACATATGGTTAACTAAAATGGGACCCCTATGGGCTGGCCCATTTGGGCTAAATGTATGGGCCCTATTCAGCAACAATGTGGGCTAACTGGAAATGGGACAGAAATGGGCAACACTATTTGGGGCCCATGTGGTTTCAGTATCATGGGCCCCACATGAGAAGCCCAATGTGGGCTGTCCACATTAAACTAACATGACATGAGCATGGGCTAACCATACATGGGTTGGACCTGGGCAGGAAAATGTAGCCCCTAGTACTTTTTTTCATGGTCTAAATGGGACAAAATTGTAGAACATTTTAATCGACAATGTGGTTACCCTGTCACTTTCAAACTTTTCACTGTATGTCAAAGCAAAAACCAGTTCAGTATTGCTCTTGCTACACTTTGAACCCCTAACTTTTTTTTCATTTTATTATTGCAGTCTGAATGTCTTAAAACATTTTTTTGAAATAATCTGTTTGAAATATATACGTAAACTCATATTCTGGTGCTTACTCAAAATTAAGCACAGAGTGGTCATGGTTGAGCTTTAGTCCTTGTTTTATTTTTAATAATAATAACTTTTTATTTTATTTTTATTATTATTTTTTTATCAATTGGATGTTTAGACATCCATAGAGTTTACTGCAGCCTGTTCGCAGCAAGATTTAAATTTTTATTTGGACAAATAGTTCAGATCAGACCATTGTGAAAAATATCACAAAATGTTTAGAAAATAAACAAAACTCATTAGCAAGTGAGAGACAAGAGTAAAATTTTGAGCATCTGTTTTTTCATATATTTGCAAACATTTTCCAAGTCATCAGTATAAATAAAAATAAAAATAAAAAAACATAACATTTCTGTTAATGATTCATTTGGTTCCAATTACCTTTTTGTTCATTGTTTGCTCTGAGGCACCGTTGCCAATAAAGGTTGGTGAATTGAAGTACCGTAGGCACTTTACACATCCACTGAAGAAAATAGTTCCAAAACATATTTGAATAAGGAGGACAACGAAATGTATTTATTTACATTGAGAACTTTTGCTACATCGGTTTTACATTTGTTAAACCGATGTAGCACTCTCAAAAATTAATCTTGTGTTTCTTGGAAAACGTAAAATGACCCGCGGATGGATATGGGGTTTCAAAATCAAGCCTGTTCTCTTCATCAGTCCGTTGGCGCGGAGTCTGCCTGTTGGCTGATCTACGAAAGAATCTGTAAGTACATTTCTTCTGTTTTACCTAGTACCAAATTTTAGGGAGAGATTTTAAATCGCTTGTTAAAAAAATTGTTGCTCGTAACAAATCGGACGACAGTATCCCAAAAGAGGCTTAATTGTTATTGTTATTTTTGCTTTTCTTTAGGGTGATACTTTTTCTGATATTGCTAACACACACAGCTACACACAATAAGCAGATTTTAGTGCAGACCGATTTCAAACGCAGCGTTGTGGGCCAAACCATTTTCAAATACCGCCGCCATTCTATTTGTTGAGCTGCCATTGGTTCATTTGAGCGCCAACGAGGCAGAATGAAATCGGTTCACTGAAGAATCTATGTTGCTAGCAGAGGTTGTTACAAAGTGTCTGGACACAATAAAACCATTTGTATGATTTAAAAAGAGTAACTATTGTGCTTTCATTCTATGTACTTGGGCTTTTAATAATCTTTCTCACAGTCACATCAGCATGCATGGGTGGGTCTCATGTATGGATTCAGGCTGGTTTGGCTGGGACCCATGCAAGATTATTATTGTCGTTTTTTTCAATAAAACTGCATTGAATCGTTTAGCTTTGGGCTATATAGGTAATGATAAGAGGGCATGGGTTTTATCTGGGCCAACTGCGTGAGGCTCATAAGGTTAACCGAAATGGGACTCATATTGTTGGCTCAATTGGGTTAAATGTATGGGCCCAATTCAGCATTAACGTGGGCTAACTGGGCATGGGACAGAAATGGGAACACTATATGGGGCCCATGTGGTTTCAGTATATTGGGCCTAAAAGGTTTTTTGTAAATAGGATGAAGGCATTGTAGTTCATATTTTTAAATTCTTTTTTAAATTGTTGTGTGACACTTTAAAGCGTTTTGTTATGTCATAGTTTATTTCAATCTGCCGCTATTGTGTTGGTCTAGAGTAGTCATCAGTGTCAGGGTTCCTGTGTGTGTATGTGAGTGTCGCATCTTATTTCAGCGAGGATCTTTGTGAGGAGCCCGTGGAGCTTGGCACAGGTGGAGGAGCAGCAGAATCTTCAGTCTACGCTAGATTGACTGCTAGATGGTTGCATACACCGGTAGTCACTCTGGCCTCTCCTGTTGTGAACAGTTTTCTGAGAACGTTTCTGTGTCTACTAGAAGTCACCTGGTCTCTGTGTTTGTTCGATCCTAGGGGTTTTGTCGCCTCATTCGAGAACTCACCAGTGAATACCTGCCTGCTCGCTCCGCCGATTCCACTGCCTCCACTCCACCCTTCGAGCTTCCAGCTCTCTTCCATTCCCACCTCGCATTTACCTTCAGAACCGCTGCACACCCTCTCTCAGGAACCTGGCATCTCACACCCACGCCTCGAAAGACCCGCACCGAAGTAAGCCTGTTCCTGTTTCCCCTCCGATCACTCATTCTAAGCCCGTCATAACTAAGTTCTCGTTTCAGGCCAACCTGGTCGAGTGGTCCTCACCCTTCCGCTGATGTCCGGGAAATAGATTTTATTTTGTCCTGTTGTAAATAAATCACTCACTCATCCCTATCCAACGTGTGGTTACTGCATGTGGGTCCGTAAATTGAAACCCATCATGTCAATCAGTGGCCAAGCCTGAAACAAATATTGAAAGATGAAGAAATTATTTTTGATATTTTTGCAATATTTAGCTAGCAGTTATGTGAAATGTACTTATATTTAATTGTAGCTCTAATTTTTTTATATGTACAATGTTTTTAGGCTTTATTAGTTACATTTATAGTGATTTTCTAAACTTCTCTTAAGAGTAATACTACTGTCTTAGTCCTGTCACGTTAACAAAGAAATTAGGATAATTGCAAAACTGTTCAGTGTTTACAATATAAGGCTTCAGTAGTTAATCTATACAAAGGCTGTTTTGCCTTAATTTTTTTATTTTTTTGAAAAGTCTAAATGTTATATTGCACTAATAAAATATATATTTTTGCAGGCTTCAAGAGGATCAGCGTGTGAAGATCACTTTATAATGATTTGAAAAAGGTAGATTAATATGTTAGTAAAATTAAGCACATAAGAGTGATATAATAACAAACTGATGAACAAAACAAAATGTTGTCCTGTTATTGTCATTGTACTTAAGGTTGCCATGGCTACAGAAATTGGAGGAGCATCCTTAGATGACACAATACAACCAGCTGTGCGATTCCTCATGTCCCATGAACTGGAAGTCCAGTTCAACCTTTTTGGCCAACATTGGAAACAAGCTCTTGGACCTGCGTCTCTTTGATGTTTTGTATGGTAAATATCAGTTTTTATTGTCAGAGTAACTTTTTTTTTTCACTTTTCTTTCTTAAACATATTTTATTTATTTTGGTTGTTTGTTATTTTTAGTAATGTTTTTAGGTTAAAAATTGAGTCTTCAATTTTTGGTTTTATTTGAACAGTATTCTTTCACTGTTGTTAAGAACTTAAAAATTTGAAGGTAATATTGTTTGCATTTCAAACAATATTAAAATAACCACAAAACCACGATAGAACCTAGTAGTTGATTTATATAGATGGATATATTTTAAATTTACAGTAAGAATATAGTTTCTGTACATAATAATGATGACTCAAGAGTCCTTTTGATTATGGCATATCTCTGCAAGCATTTTTGCCCCATGAAGGGGGAGATGCAAATCTCATGAATGTTACATTGTGCTAAAATGAAACACTAATACAATTTCTACCTTTGCTTGTTATTTCAGGGGACTTAAAAGAAATTATCCATCTACAGAATCACACAAGCATACAGCAAAGACTCTCGAAGTGGTTTACTGGAGCCCGAGTGGAAGTGGAAATAGACTAGAGAGACTGCCAGTTCAAACTCAGGTTGGGGAGGTCTTTCAAGATGGACAGTTTCAGTAAAGTATGAGAGATTTCAAATTTAAGCATGCATATGGCATGTAGGTTATTTTTTAAAAATGTTTAACAAAAATGTATTGTGAAAGATCTATATAGGTGTGTATATTCACATTGTGTGTATCAATGTGAATATACGTGTATAAAGTTATATAGATAGTATTTAGATGTATACATTTATAGACCTGTAGGAAAATATGTAGGTGTCTTTATTTGTGTGCATCTATAGATATATATTTATAGATCTGTTTATAAGTTTGTTATAGTAAACTAGCTTCTGTTATTTTCAAAGATGTCGTGAATAATTGCAGATTTCTTTTTGTGGCACCATTCCCTGAGTATTAATGAAGTTCTAATAATTGCTGTAGTGAGGTAAAAAATAACTCCTGACAATATTTTAAATTACCAAATAAAAGCCTTGAGCAAAATAAATTTTTCATCTCTTTTTTATTTTTTATTTGAACACGTTTTAAGCTAGACTTTGGATTGTTGATCAAGATTGCATATCTATGAATGTAATTCACATCCAGGTTAGATGAGAATTGTTCCTACAGGATTAAGGCATCTGGGTCCCGCTGAAAACCCAGTTAGCACCCATTGAAATCAACCTGGGCAAACCCATGTGGGGCCACCATGGAAACCGTGGACAAACCCACTTGGTACCCATATTCTAGCCCAGTTCAGACCCAATTGGGACCCAGGTAAATATTCCTGACAGCACCCTAGTGGGCCACAGATGAGCCTCATGTAAGTTAACCACATGGGCCCCACTGAAAACCCAGTCAGCACCCATTGAAATCAACCTGGGCAAACCCATGTGGGGCCAACATGGAAACCGTGGACAAACCCACTTGGTACCCATATTCTAGCCCAGTTCAGACCCAATTGGGACCCAGGTAAATATTCCTGACAGCACCCTAGTGGGCCACAGATGAGCCTCATGTAAGTTAACCACATGGGCCCCACTGAAAACCCAGTCAGCACCCATTGAAATCAACCTGGGCAAACCCATGTGGGGCCACCATGGAAACCGTGGACAAACCCACTTGGTACCCATATTCTAGCCCAGTTCAGACCCAATTGGGACCCAGGTAAATATTCCTGACAGCACCCTAGTGGGCCACAGATGAGCCTCATCTAAGTTAACCATGTGGGACCCACTGAAAACCCAGTCAGCACCCATTGAAATCAACCTGGGCAAACCCATGTGGGGCCACCATGGAAACCGTGGACAAACCCACTTGGTACCCATATTCTAGCCCAGTTCAGACCCAATAGGGACCCACGTAAATATTCTTGACAGCACCCTAGTGGGCCACAGATGGGCCTCATGTGAGTTAACCATGTGGGCCCCACTGAAAACCCAGTCAGCACCCATTAAAATCTACTTGGGCAAACCCATGTGGGGCCACCATGGAAACCGTGGACAAACCCACTTGGTACCCATATTCTAGCCCAGTTCAGACCCAATTGGGACCCAGGTAAATATTCCTGACAGCACCCTAGTGGGCCACAGAAGGGCCTCATGTGAGTTAACCACATGGGCCCCACTGAAAACCCAGTTAGCACCCATAAAAATTTACTTGGGCAAACCCATGTGGGGCCACCATGGAAACCGTGGACAAACCCACTTGGTACCCATATTCTAGCCCAGTTCAGACCCAATTGGGACCCAGGTAAATATTCCTGACAGCACCCTAGTGGGCCACAGATGGGCCTCATGGGAGTTAACCATGTGGGACCCACTGAAAACCCAGTCAGCACCCATTAAAATCTACTTGGGCAAACCCATGTGGGGCCACCATGGAAACCGTGGACAAACCCTTTTGGGACCCATATTGCCTGCCCACTTATATCCCATATGGGGCCCACCTAGGTGTGCTGGCTGGGAGGTGGCCTTAACATGTAGGGAACAGACAATGTTCCCTGAATGTTTACACGAGGTTCCGGGAGCCATGTTTGTCCTAAATGGTGACTTGAGCTGATTGCCTCATATTTTCCTCCTTATTAATATTTCAAATCATAAACAAACAATTAGTTCTGTTCATTTATTCAGCAGTGTTGGGTGGCACCTCGGAGCCTGGCAGCAGTTTCACAACTCCCAGTTCGCATTTATCAAAACTGGGGCGGACGCACGGGCTTCACCCGCACGCCCGCGCACACACACACACACACACACACACACACACACACACGCACCGGGAGGCCGCTTTGCGATTAGGAGAGAATAAGTTCTTTATGAAAGCACTCGGAATCAGCACTTTTTGGTCCGCAGGGACCGCTGGAAAGCAGAGGCTGCCACAACCAGACAAACGGCAATCTCACAGCCGGGAATCCTGCGGCCAATTATTGAGAGAAAACTGGCATATCCATTCACAGCGGGATGTAGTAATTATGTCTCAAAATCACACGGCATTCATCTCTCCAAACGCAATTCAGCAGCGGAATAAATAAGCAGGTCCGACTGTGGACTGCCGATTGCTTAGAGGAGATGTAAATATGCGACTTTGTGTTTGCTGACCGCTTTTGGTAATGTCAGTTCTGCGCTCGGTGCTCTTGGAGGGGAAGAAAAACCCCCACGTCAAGTCCCATTTCCTATGACTCAGCCAATGACTAAGCCCACCTCAAGTGAAAATAAACCTCCCACCTAAATGCCCTTTGAAAGCTGCGGCCTTTCCTCGCTAAGCTGTCTCTTCAATTAAGGAGGAATTTGCACGAGCAAAGCCAGGTTGCCTTTGCCGCGGCGGCAGCGAGCCAGCGGTTCAGGCTAACTGGGTCACGGTAATTCCAGTCGGATGGTCCAAAGCACTTTATGTCTTTTGCTTGTGCACTCAATGAGCCACTGAGCCTTAGTTCGGAAGCACACAATTACCTACAAGTGTGCACAGACCAATATTGAAAAACCGGGATCAGTTCTCCCGGGAAAGACTTTTCTTTCTTTTCTTTCTTTAATAATGTGGTTTTGCTCTCAGAGTACACAAACAGAAGTTAAATCCCACAGGTATCCACCAACTGTGAGCTCCCCTGCTGAGCTAAGTGCTACTCCTAATGCTAATTTATGGCACAATGCAATTACTGTCAAAAACAACACAGTGGAATTAACAGTGGAAGTTAGCTTAAAAAGACATAGTCAAAAAAAAAAGCTTTTTAATGACTAAACTGAAGAGACATTTCTCAACATTAAAGAAATAATACAGTAGAATGATAAAAATAAACAACACGGTCCTTAGTTGTGCCTATAGCTGCAAATTGTAGCTACCTGCTAATGTCAAGCTACTAGCTAGCAACAAGCATGCTATACGTACCAAAACAAATGCCTTCCACTTTTTTCACACGTGGTCTTACATCACACCCACTTTATATTATAACATTTCACTGCTTCCAACAATGTTGCCGTGAGTAAAATAAAAACGTGATATTTGTTGAAAAGAGTGTAACTTCAAGCTAGCTGCTCACTGTGCTAACGTTAGCCAACCGTGTACAGGTATCATGAAAGCCCTGCAGAAGGGAAATATTTTAAAGAGCCAGACACGTCGCCTCCACTCCATCATGTATCCAAATGGGAAACATTTTATTTGACGGGTTGTGAATTAGAACATGAGCAAGTCTTCAAGAATATTTGTGATTGTTGCCATAAGTGTCATGATTCGGCAAATCATGACACTTTTAACACAAAGTTGACATTATTCAAAATGTCTTCGTTATGACCACTTGTCATTAACCGAGAAATTACGATCTGGCATAAATTTGTTATAAAAGTGTCACTGACTAAACTTGAAAAATTCTGCAACTTTTTGTTATTAAAACTAAAGTATAATCAGTAATACTTTTATAACAAATTCATGTCAGATCGTGAGTTCTTGGCCACGCCCCCCAAACTCAAAGTGTCAAATTATCCGCCAACTTTTACCTCCAAATCAGTCTGTAAAGAAGACGGTGAAATTAGTTTTTTTCCGTGTGAAAGATTTGACTTCCTTGCAGAGCGTCACCACAGCGCCAAGATTCAGCAGTTGCAGAAATATTTTCCATTCAAAGTAAAAAAGTCTTGAGATGATGCTAAATATCCCAAGCTATTGACAAAAAATGCCTTTATTCGATTTTTTCTTTTTCTTTGATCAACACTCGAATTTCTTAAAGTACCACTGGACCTTTGTTTTTAAGAACAGGTTAACTGAGAAGACTGAATATTTCTGGTGATGCAGTGACAGCAGGCACAGCTCTGTCGAATTATTCAACGTATTTTCAGGGCACACAAAAACTGTTGAAATGCAAATGAAAATGTCAAGAAAAAGCATACAATAACCATGTTCTTTAGAATACTATAAGGTGAGTTTGGTAACATGTGCCGGAACACAATTTCTCTTCAAATGTCTGGAGATAGAATCCGGTTTTGCATGTGACCTCAAAGTTGACAGGCTGCAGTAAATAATATAAACCTTTAATAGATTTGACTCAACATATACACACAGAGCTGGAAGGAAAAAGCAAGAATATGGAATAAGTACATTATTTAGTAGAGCTTTTTCATATATATTGAGTGAAATATTCTCCTTTTGTTGTTCCGCTTTTTATAGAGCAACACTGGGTATTAAGTGAGTCAGGTGAAGTCAAGCTTATTTGTGCAGCACATGTCAGCAGCAAACACAGTTCAAAGTGCGTCACATGATGAAAGCAACGCACAAGAAACAAACTAAAAAAGAAACGTTCTATAGTGGCAAGATACAGAGAAGACGAGATCTAATATATGTTTCTGTTATTTATCAAAGGCAGCTCAAAGCAATTGTAGTTTTAGCATTGATTTAAGGGAACTCTGCGTTTCAGCATTTTTGCAGTTTTCAAGAAGTTTGTTCCAAATTTGCGGGGGATGAAAAGCGCTTCTCTGGGGCTTTCTTGAGGAAATAGCTGAAAATGTTGTCCTCCTGTACTACGACGTTTCACATTCACTTATTTAGGAGGCTAACACTTGTCTAATACAGCAGTGGTACATTTTCTTGCTGGCTAGCTAGTACCTCGCTAGCATACCCTGGCTACATTGCTAGCCTAGTTTTTTTTTTAAATGAATTTAAGTCGTTTTAAGGCCTCAATTTTTAATATGTCTTGCTTGTCCGGAGTTTCACTTCTTGTCTACCTGAGCCCAGGTTTCCTGAACAAAGTGGCGTACCGTCAAAATCATTCTTTCGAATAACGGCGGGAGCAGCACTAATAAAAAATAAAAAAACCCACAACTGACTCGATGTGACTTTCCTTTCGCTGTGACAACAGATTGAAACAGATAATCAATTAAATCACATGAAAACGCCTCGGCCTTGGATAAATATTCAGACTTCAGAAATCAACAGGAAAGCAACTCCTGATTGTTTTCTGTCGCTCTGAGGAGGTTGTCTTCAAACACT